CACTATGACTGGCCTTAATTTTTTGCATTTTATAACTGAAGACAAGGAAAGGTTTTTTTTTTTTTTCCTTTCTGAATTCTTTTAGACCAGGCCTCTTGGAGTCCAGGTTGATCTTAAACTAGCTATATGACTGAAGATGACCTTGGATTCTTGATTTTCCTGACCCCACCTCCCAAGTGCTGGTATTCCAGGCTTGTGCCACTATATCCAGCTTTTAAGAAATGGTTTACTAGTACTTGAATACTCTTGAATATGCTATTGGTTCTTGTGTAAAAAATACTTTGTCTGATGGGTTTAGGAACGTGAAAAAGAACTAGCATGTCTTCGTGGCCGATTTGACAAGGGCAATGTATGGAGTGCAGAAAAAGACGAAAAGCCAAGAAGCAAGCAACTAGAAACGAAACAGGTAATGTGAACAAGAAATATAAAAGTGATCTTGGTAAGAGAGTAGTAGTACAGCTTTGTACTTCTGGATTATAGGGTTTTTGTTTTGTTTTTGATTATTTTTTTTAAATGTATATAAGTGTTTTACCTGCATGTACATAAATGCATCACATGCATGCAATGCTTGTGGAGACCAAAAGAGGACATCAGAGTCGACAGTTGTTAGCTGCCATGTGGGTGCTAAGAACCGAACCTGGGTCCTCTGCAAGATAAGCCAGCGCTCCTGTAGTTTAATTTTTTTGTTTGCTTTTTGGGGGGGTGGGTCTCTCAGTCTAGCCCAGGCTGACTGCAAACTGGAAGTAATCCTCCTGTCTCAGGCTTCCAAATGCTTGGATTATAGGTGTGAACCACCATGCTAAGCTTTGTTAAATAAATTTTAAACACTTCCTGTTCCAATTTAATGTTACCCTTTCCATTCATAAGCCCTTAAATGTACATAACTCTTCTTTTCCTCTGATTTTTCCCCCCATTTTATTCATACTCTTAATCCTTTTCACTGATGAACTTGAAATCAAGTAAAAAGTGTTGTCATCATTCAATTTCAGAGCCTTCTTACTAGTCTACTTAAATGCTGGTTCTAAACTATTAGAATCTATGTTTTTCATTGATGACTATTTAGCTTTTAGGCTATGTGTAATCTTTTCAGTTACCATATACCTCCTAGGTGTTTCTTTTTCTTTTCTTTTTTTCTTGAGATATGGTCTCCCTATAGTCCCAGCTGGCCTGGAACTCACTGTGTAGACCTGGCTGGCCTTAATCTCAAAGAAATCTGTCTGCCTCTGCCTCCTGAGTGCTAGGATTAAAGGTGTACAACACCAAGCTCAGTTTCCTAGATTTTCTTTATTCTTGTTAAATTTCATTACTCTTCAGCAAAGCCCCTACTTACAGACATACACAGTCACACTTAAGCACATACTTGCAGTGATAATTTTCTACATTGATCACCAACTTGCCCGTCTTCCATTCCCATATCATTACCATAGCTTTGTTTCTTTTTCTTTTCCCTTCCCCTTCCCACCTGTTCCCTTCCTTCACTTTTCTTGCCCAAGTTCATCCCTGATCTTCATTGATCAATTTCAGTCATTTAACTTGCCCAGTTAGTAGCATTTGACATTGTTGATGACTCTTTTAATGATCTTTATTTGGCTGCCCCTATACCAAATTCCTGTGGTTTGTTCCTGTGTCTCTGGGGACAGTTACTGTTAGAATATTTTGTACTAAATAATACCTGGGAAGCTTACGAGATTTCTTCCAAAGCAGCAGCACTTATATATATGAACAGCATTCTGAACTCAATAACTAGCAGTGAGTTCAGGGATTTTCTGCTCCAGAAATTCATTTGTGAACATCGCAGAGCAGCCAAAGAGAAAATGCATTTGAGTGTGGTGTCATTAAAGTCAAGAGACAAGTGAACCTTTTGAGAAGAATGGTTTTGTTGGGCTTTCAATGGGTTTCCAGCCCACTGTGGGTTGAAATGAGAATGAGTCTGCTTGGGCTTATTTATTTATTTGGTTTTGGAGACAGGATATCACTGTATACATACTGAGGTTTAAAGTAAGAAGTTTGCTGTGAGGTGTCAGGAATAGTTTTGGTGATGTGAGGAAGGGAGGGTGGGTGCAGGTCGTTATGGATTGAGGAGGGATAGCAGGTGAAGAGCAGAGCCAGGTGGTGTTGGCAGGTTTTAGAATTTGGTTCTAAAGGGGAGGAAGAAGGAAGGTGGTATCTGGAAGAGATGAAAAAGCAAAGTAGGTTGTGCTCATTTTGTTCTTCCTGTGACTCAAGGAAATTTTAGTGTTGATGGAAAGGAATTAGTAAGAAGTAAGTAGAGAAGAGGAGATAAAAAGAAGTGATAATTGATGGAATAAGGGGAGAATGGATGAACTGAGAACAGAGATGGGGGCAGAATCATTAGTGTGCAAAAAGGAAGGAGGAAAACTGCAGGTGCTGGCTGTCCTAGAGCTTCGAGGCAGAATACTGATTGTCTGTTAGTTACTGTTATGGTCATTGCTAGGAAACGGAAGGTGCTTACTTTACTTCTCAGCCTTTTGACTAAGATAAGTGCAGGTGTAGGACAGGGAAGGTAATAAGTAGACTACTTCCTGGAAGGAAGAGATTTTCAGAATCAGAAAAGGGATCAGGATGGTAGATTCAGATGGGCTGTCCATTAGTTACTTTTTTGTTGCTATGATAAAATACTATGACCAAAAGCAACTTAAGGAAGAAAGAGTTTACTTTAGTGTACAGTGCCAGAGGGATAGTCCATCATTCTGGGGAAGGCATGTCAACAGTCAAGGGAAGCATGGTGGTAGGCTATTTCCATCCACACAGGATGCAAAGACAGGGTGTGGGTGTTATAAATCCCTAAGCCTGCCCTCAGTGATATATATTTCCTCCAGCAAAACTCTATTTCTTAAAAGTTCTATAACCTCCCCCAAACAGTACCACCAACTGGGAGCCAAGTGTTCAAATACATGAATCTGTGGGGACATTTCTCAGTTAAACCACCATAAACTGTGAGATCACAGATTTATAGTAAGACCAAATTGCACAGTTCTATCCAAAGAGCCTGGTGTAGATTTGAAGAACTTTGGTTGGTCTCAGATTAGGGTTTTGCCATACAAGAAATCTAGAAGTTTGATTGAAAGAGTTGAAAATAGTGATAGGGAAGTGGTTGCAGTGAAGGGTTATAAGGTCCACTCTGGGTGCTGGTGTAAGAAAATAGAAGGTAGAAATCAAAGGATGAAGAGCACCAAATGATCAGTGATCCCCAAGAGGCAACAACAGGCTCTGATAGGGATTCCTGAATGAGAGAGAGGGAGGGAGAGAGAGAGAGAGAGAGAGAGAGAGAGAGAGAGAGAGAGAGAGAGAGAGAGAGAGAGAGAGAGAGAGAGAGAGAGAGAGAGAGAGAGAGAGAGAGAGAGAGAGAGAGAGAGAGAGAGAGAGAGAGAGAGAGAGAGAGAGAGAGAGAGAGAGAGAGAGAGAGAGAGAGAGAGAGAGAGAGAGAGAGAGAGAGAGAGAGAGAGAGAGAGAGAGAGAGAGAGAGAGAGAGAGAGAGAGAGAGAGAGAGAGAGAGAGAGAGAGAGAGAGAGAGAGAGAGAGAGAGAGAGACAGAGAGAGAGACAGAGAGAGGGACAGAGAGAGACAGAGAGAGAGGGACAGAGAGAGAGGGGGACAGAGAGGGACAGAGAGAGACAGAGAGGGACAGAGAGAGACAGAGAGAGGGACAGAGAGAGAGGGACAGAGAGAGGGACAGAGAGAGAGAGGGACAGAGAGACAGACAGAGAGAGACACACAGAGAGAGGGACAGAGAGAGATAGAGAGAGAGGGAGAGGGACAGAGAGAGACAGAGAGAGAGGGACAGAGAGAGAGAGAGGGACAGAGAGAGAGATGGAGAGAGAGAGACAGAGAGAGAGGGACAGAGAGAGAGAGACAAAGAGAGACAGAGACACAGAGACAGAGAGAGGGACAGAGAGAGAGACAGAGAGGGACACAGAGAGAGAGGGACAGAGAGAGACAAAGAGAGGGAGACAGAGAGGGACAGAGAGAGGGACAGAGAGAGAGACAGAGAGAGAGAGATTATAGGGATGGTTGGGATAGGGTGTGTGGATTCAGAGAAGCAGAAACCAGTTTCAGGTGATACTGAGTTGGAAGTGGTGATGGGTTTTGCAGTTCACATGTTCAAGCACCTGAGAGGTCAAGGTGTTGTTTACATAGCCTTGCACCACCTTGATGATGCAGGTCTTGAATTAGAGATGTATTTGGGGAATTCAAAGGAGAAACTCATGGGTTATTGATACTTAGGAGTTCTGGATTGTTGGTGGTGGAGTGTACTACAGCCAAATGGCTGAGTCTTGCTCAGAATTGGCCCTTTAAAAGATAAGACACTAAAGAGGATGCTCTTCTCATGTTGTCAGGGCGTAGGTGAGAGATCTGCCTTTGCTTTGGAGGTTTGTAGATTTACTTTCTGCATTTATAAGATAGCTAGGTTTATCTATCTGGGCTAAAATGTAGACAGTGTTTGTTTACTATGGAAAAGCAGTCTGCAGTGAGACTGATGGAGAGGAAGGAGGTGGAGAGCATTACAAAAGCTAATATATACTGAGCGTCTACAATGTGCCAGTGCTCTAGTGGGCACTTATATCATCCCCACAATAACACTGTATGTTAAGCAGTAATATATTTTCCCTTTGGGAGGGAATGTCCAAGAATGCCCATCTGTTAAGCAAGAAAACTGGGGGTTCTACCCAGACCTTTTAGCCTTACCGCCTCGTCTTTTAACATGCAATGCTTATTCTTGGGCAGTGATTCATAGTTAAAGGAAGCAAAATGTAGTGATTTTGTTATGCTTATGTTTTCAAAGCTTTGAGTCAAGCATTTGAGAACAAGTGTAGTTGTTTTCCATTATCACCATAGCCATTTGTTTACTTAAATATTTGAGTAAAGAGCCCAGATGCCATGGTATCAAAGCACATACACTTTTTATTCTCAATGAGTTTTCAACTTCTGCAGTGCATTCTTAAGTCTTAATTTCCCTTACTCAAACTTCTTGCCCACCTTTAAAAAAATTTAAGAGTTTATTCACACTTGTGAGACAGTCTAATCTGGAACTTCCCAGAGTTTGTACACACACGCTTTCAGTTACTAACTGTGCAGGAGATTCTGCATCTCAGGTTTCTCATCTGTAAAATGGAGCCTAATTTGGAGGATTAGTGAGAGTCTTAGATGAGACAATAAAATGCTTAGGTGCATGACATTTTAAGCTTTGTGTATTAGCTGCTATTATTCTTGCTCTGTTACTAGGATTTCCTCTAGTCATAAAGTATTTTCTTTTGGTTTTTGAGACCGGGTCTTGCTATGTAGTACAGCCTGGCCTGGAACTTGGTCTATAGACCAGACTGGCATAAAACCTGCAGTGATTGTTCTCACCTGCCTCCAGGTGAGAGTAGTGGGATTACAGGTGTGCCTCCATGCCTTGTCATCGTAACACTCCTGGCAAGAATGGTTTATTGAGCACACTGCAAGTGAGCTGGGGACTGGGCAGTAACTAGAGGCCTGTCCATCATAAAGTCTTTAAACAAAGTAATGAATGTTTTCCTTCCATATATTTACTAATGAACAAAGATGCAAATGAGGATTTTTTTCTTCCTTATTTTTGAATCTGCTTTTGTCTACTTTGTTTTCCTCTACATTTTACTAAGTAAATGGTAATTAAATGGAATCCTTATGTCAGAACTGTCAGCAGATTATTTAGGCATGGGCTGAGATAAATGACATAGGGGAAATTGGTTTTCCCTTTTGTGTGGTTTTTGCTATAGTGATTTATATAAAATTGGACTCTGATGTGAATTTTCATTTTTTTGCTTCCTAATCTCTTAAAGATTTTATGTATTAGGAATTATTATCACTGTGGATTTTTTTTGAAGAAGAAGAAGACTGGGCTCTTTTAATGTACATTGTTTCTTTAATTCTCAAGAAACATAGAATGTTATTTAATAATAATCTTGTTTCATTTAACATATAGATTAGATAAGAACTATAATTCTTTTTAAAAAATTATTTTAATTATTTTGTGTGTCTGTTTGAGTGAATGCCCTGTGTGTGCAGGTGCCTGAAGAGGGTGTCCGACCCTAGGAGCTAGAGTTACATGCTGATGTGGATGCTGGAACTGACCTCAGGTCCTCTGGAATAGCAGCAAGTGCTTTTCACTGCTCAGCCATCTTTCAAGCCCTAAGATCCAGAATTCTGAGAAATAAAATATGCTCCTCCATTTGCTTTTTGCTTTTTGTAGGAAGTTCACTGTCAGAACACTCCCCTCAAGAAACATCAAATTGTTTCAAATACCCAGTCAATTTTGGCAACTGAGAAGGTGCCTGAGAATCAGACAGCAGCAAAGACTTCCAGTTCAGAACCTACAGGTTGGTGTTTTCCTTTCTGCATCACATAAAATGTTGCTTTTCGGTTGCCCGTAGATGTGGAAGTTGGAACAGAAAGGAGCAATACTGCTGTGGTATAAAAAGATAGATCCAGTTTTTCCTTGTCACTCAGCTTTTTCATTTGTGATTATTCAGTATGATACTTTCTTTTAGTTCCTTTCCAGAGTTAGAGCTCACTTTTTTTTTTTTTTTTCAAGTAGAAAGGGTTTATTTTGACTTATAGCCTTAAAAGATACAGTCCATCAATCATGATAGAGAAACCATGGTGTTCGGAGCAGGAAGCTGGCTGGTCACATTGGATCTACAATCAGGAAACAGAGCTATTTCTTGTTTCTTTAAGACAAGATCTCACTACCCAGACTAGCCTAGAACTTGTGATCCTCCTGCCTCAGTGTTCTGAGTGCTAAGATTATAGGTGTGAGTCACCACACCCAGTTTAACATAAACACTTATATTATTTTAATAAGTTAGGATAAAAATATCACATAAAATTTACCAACTTTAACTGAGTGTGGTGGTGCATGTCTGTAGAAATCTAAGTACTCTACAGGCTGAGACAGGGCAGGAGGATTGCTGGAAATTTTTGTTTTTTTGGTCTTTTTGAGACAGGGTCTCCTTGTAGCCCCAGTTGGCCTGGAACTCACTATGTAAACCAGGTTGGCCTTGAGCTCACAGAGCTCCACTTGCTTCTGCCTCCCGACTGCTGGGATTAAAGACATGTGCCACCATGCCTGGCAATTGCTGGAAATTTTAAGTCAACCTAAACTACATAGTAAGGCCCTGTGTCAACAAAGAAAAAGAGTACCTTGCCCCACCCAATTCTATTATTATTTTTAGGTGCACATTTCAGTGATGTTAAGTGTATTCATTTTGTTGTTGATCTTCAGAACTTTTTCATCTTTCAAAATTGAAACTGTACCCATTAAATGAAAATTACCAATATTCCTTTATCCTCCAGCCCATGGTAATCCCATTCCACTTTGTTTCTGTGAATTTGTCAATTTAAATATGTCATAGATGGAAACATGCAGTAGTCCCCTTCATCTTGAGAGGTGCACTCCAATATTCTCTAGTTGATGCCTGAAATTGTGACTAGCCACTGACCTCTATATAAACTATGTTTTCTTCCTGCAGTGTTGCCACATGAGCTCTGAGTTAGTCTCTCTTTGCATGTATTACACTATGTAGCACCCTTTATTTTAGTACTCTTGTGCTTTGTGGCCATTATTGAGGAACATAAGGGTTACTGGTAGTGGATCTGAGAACCTAGGTGTAAGAGACTAGGGAGTAGGCAGCACTTAGAGCCTGGATCCCTGGACAAAGAGATGGTTCACATCCTGGGCAGGATGGAGTGGGCTGGAGCTGAATAAGGCAGAAAGGCATGTGACTTTATCACATTGTTCAGAATGGTGCCCAGTTTAAAACTTAATATACATTTCTGGAGTTTCAACTTAATAATTTTGGAGTATGGTTGACAGCCGGTAACTGAAACTGGAAAGTGAAACACTAGATAATGGAGAACTACTGTAGGGACTGGAGAGATGGCTCAGTGGTTAAGAGCACTGGTTGTTCTTGCGGAGGACCTGGGTTTGATTACCAGCACCCACATGGCAGCTAACAACTGTCTATAACTCCACTTTTAGGGGATCCAATGCCCTCTTCTGACCTCTGTGGGCACTGCATGACCCGGGTACATCTACATATACACAGGCAAAACACTCATACACATAAAAATAACAAAAATAATTTAAAAATTGTAAAAGATTTACTAATTTTATTTTCTGTATGAGTGCCTGTATTGTATGTATGTGCATCATATGGATGCCTGGTGCCCACAGAGGCCAGAAGAGGGCATTTGGATCCCCTGGTGCTAGAGCTACAGGTTTTTGTAAGGCATCATGTGGGTGCTTTGAAACGAACTTGGGTACTCTGCAAGAGCAGCAAGTGCTTTTAACCACTGAGACATCTCTCCAGCCCCTTAGATTTTAACTTTTAAGACTGAATAATAGTCCATTGTATGTACATATCACATTTTGCTCACTATTCATCTGTAGATACATAGTGGAGCCCCTTCTACCTTTTGGCTGTTGTGAATAGTGCTACTGTCAGCATGGTTGCACAGATATCTGTTTCAGAGTTTTGGAGAAATACCTAAAAATAGTTACTGGATTGATTATATTGTCATAGTTGTACTATTTTATATTCTCACCAACAGGGCACAGGATTACAATTTTTCTGCTTCTTACCAGCATTCTTATTTTCTGTTTTGAGTATATTTTGTTGTTCTTGATGTTTTTGTTTTGGGTAGCAGTCATCCTAATGACTGTAAGGTGATGTCCCATTACGTTATTTGTGTTTCTTAATAGTAATGTTAGACATATTATTTTCTGTCATTTGTATATTTTCTTTGGAAAAATGACCCCCATCCCCCATTTTTTTTTTGAGACAAGACCTTGCTAGGTAGGCTAGGATAGCCTAGAATATGCTATGTTGCACAGGATGGCTTTGAATTCCCGATCTTCCTGCCTCCCCATCTCAGTTGTTGGGATTACAGGCGTGAGCCACTATGCCTGCTCCATTCATTTTTTTGTGTGTATGTGTAAGTTTGTGTGCATGTTTGTGTGGGGGAGGGGCTTGTATCCTCATGTGGATACACTTGGATATAGAGGTCAGAGATCAATCTTGGTTGTTGTTCCTCTGGAGCCATCTACCTTGTAGAAAACAAAAAGAGACAGACTGTCTCACATGGGACCTGTGGCTCACTGATTAGGTTAGGGCTGCTGGTCAGTAGGTCCAGGGATCTGCCTGTCTTTACCTCCTAGTGCTGGGATTACAAGTCAGTGCCGCCATGCCTGTTTTATGTGGGTGCTAGAGATGGAATTCAGATCCTCATGCTTGTTTGGCAAGCACTTTACTGTTGAGCTCTCTCTTCAATCTTTTCTCTATTTTTTAGTCATCTGATTTGTGGTGGTTGAGTTGTAGTAGTTCTTTGTATATTCTATCTAGATTGTAACCTTTTTTCAAATTAAAAAAATTTATTTTTGTGTTTTTGAGACAGGGTCTCCCTGTAGCCCCAGCTGGCTTGGAACTCACTATGTAGACCAGGCTGGCCTCGAACTTGCAAACACCTGCCGGTGCCTCTGCCTCCTGAGTGCTGGGATTAAATGTGTGCACCACCGCGTCTGGCTAGTTGTAATCTCTTAATCCCATCTATGATTTATAATCATTTTATCCTGTTTAAGAAGTTGCAATTTTATTGTCACTGTGTTGACTGTATTTGGTAAACAAAATTTTTTAAAGTTTGGTGTAGTTTCACATGTCTACTTTTTCTTTTGTTGCCTCTGCTTTTGGTTTTATATCTAAGAGATTACTGAAAATTCAACATTATGAAGCTTTTCCCCTATATAATTTAAGTTCTACAGTTTTGAGCCTTAAATTTAAACCTTCAATATATTTTTGCTAAGTTTTATGTATGACATAAGAGTCCAACCTCAGACTTTTGCATATGAATATCCAGTTTCCCCAGCACCATTTATTGAACACATTGTTCTTTTTACTTTTGACTCATCTTAATTCCTTTGTTGAATATTATTTGATTGCCTATGTGAAGATTTATTTCTGGCCTCTCTAGTGTACTCCATTGATCTATATTTGTATGCCAGTACCATACTGTATTGATGACTATAGTTTTGTTGATTTTTTTTTTTTGGTCTTCCTCTTTTTGTGGTGCTGAAACCCAGGGCCTCACACATGGCAGACAAACTACCACTGAGCTGAATCCCATTTTGGATATTCAGGGTTTCTTAGAGTCTATATAAATTTTAGGAGGAAACTTTCTGTTTCTTAAAGAGATTTTGATAGAGGTGACATTGAATGTACAGATTGCTTAGGTCATGCTGATATCTTACAATTATTAAGTCTTCTAATCCATGGAGTGTCTTTCTTTTTATTTTGTCTTCTATAGTTCCCTTTAGCGATATTTGTTGTTTTCAAGGACTAAGTTGTTCACTCTTCGGTAAGGTTTCACCGTAAATATTTTTATTCTTTTGGTACTTCTACTTTTTGGAGACAGGGTCTCATCCAGCCTAGGCTGAGCTCCAACTCATCACTATCTAGCCAAGGATTCCCTTGAACTTATGTTCCTCTTGCCTCCATTTCCTAAGAGCTGGAATTACAGAGTTATACCACCATACCTGGTTTTATGCAATGCTGGTGAATGCTAGGGCTTCAGGCATGCTAGGCAAGCACTCTATAAACTGAACTATACCCCCAGTCTTCTTTTTGGAACTATTATGAATAGAATTGTTTTTGACATTTCTTTTCAGATTGTTCATTTCTTGTGTAGATTTAATTATTTTATTTTAATTTATTTAATTTTATTTATTTAATTTATTATTATTTTATTTATTTCAGATGTGAGCTAGCACCTGTATGTTGAGATAATTTTCTTTAACATTGCTAAATTGGCCAAATTTATTAGTTCTAACAGGTCATGTGAAGCTTTTTTTTGGTAATCTTTAGGGTTTTCAGCATATTAAATGTCATATGTGAACAGAAATAATTGTAATTTCTTTCTAATCTGGATGCCTTTGTCTTAATTGCTTTGGCTAGGACTTTGGATATTAAATCCAGTAGTGAGAGCAGGTATCTATTAAAGGTTAAACTACCAGGCTCTTATTAATGAGTGCGATGTTAGTTGAGGGCTTTTCCTATTTGGTCTTTATTGTGTGAGGAAGTTTCCTTGCTGTCCTAGTTTCTGAGTGCTTTTTGTCGATATTTATTTTTCCTTTTTGAATTTTAGTTTATTTTTTATTATATGTGTATGAGCATATTGCCTGCATGCATGTAAGTGCATACATGTTGTGTAATGCCCAAGGAGGTCAGAAGAGGGCATTGGATTTCCAGGAACTGGAGTTACAGATGGTTGGTAACCACTATGTGGGTCCTGGGAATCAAACCCAGGTCCTCTGGAAAAGAAGAGCAGCCAGTGCTCTTAACTGGTGAGCCATCTTTCCAGCCCCTCCCTTTTTTTTTTCTTTTCAGTTTTTGAGATGGGTCTTACTATGTAGGCCTGGCTGCCCTGGAAATTACAAACTAGACCTGGCTGGCCTCAAATTCACAGAGATTCACTTGCCTCTGCCTCCGGAGTGCTGAGATTAAAGGCATGTGCCACCCATGCCTGGCTGGCACTTTTTTTTAAGTGAAAAGCAGATTGCAGAGCAGTTTGGATAAACAATAACTTGATAATATTTGCGATCTTTTTTCTGTTGGTGGGGAAGAAGACAGGAAAGCTAAGAGAGGTAGGTATTTTGCTGGCTTTCTATGTATTTCTAGACTTAAATATTTTAAAACAAATGTGTAGTTTTGTAGTAATATGATTCACTAATTTAAAATTTTAGGTTATATTTACTAATTTTGTCTTTCTCAAAAATTTTTTTAGGTTTCACTGAATCCAAAATGACAAAGTCTAGCCCGTTGAAAATAACATTGTTTTTAGAAGAGGAAAAGTCCTTAAAAGTAACATCAGACCCAAAGATTGAGCAGCAGACCGGTTAGTTTATATTCTTTTTTTCTTATTAGTTCTTATTATAAGAAATAATATACAGTATTCTTTATTTTTTTTTCATTTATTTAATAACCACATGATTAGAAGAAGCATTCCTTTACAGCCTTAACATTTTTTAAATGTCCTGTGACTATAATAATTTTTTTTTCAAGCTAGGAAATATTTTACTTTCCATTAAGGTGTGGTACTATTAATAGTTATTTTTAGATCACAGAGCCCTATGAAAATTACCCTAGATGGTTGTTAATATTTTCCTATTGCTGATTGCTACATGAGTGGACAGATCCTAACAACAGGAGAGAGTCATTTGAAGGAGTGTTTTTGAGCTTTATTTATTTATTCATTTAGTTTTTAAATTTTATTTTTATTTTATGTGTATTCTTGTATTGCCTGCATGTAGGTAAGTGCACCTGTGTTATGCAATGCTCTTGGAGGACAGAAGAGGCTGTCAGATCCCCTGGAACTGGAGTTACAGACAGTTGTTAGCTGCCATGTGGGTGCTGGGATTTGAACCCAGGTTTTCTGCAAGAACAACCAGTGCTCTTAACCACTGAGCCATCTCTCCAGCCTGAGCTTTATTTTTTATATGTATATATATGTGAGTATGTGCATATGAGTGTGGGTGCCTGCTGAAGCCAGAAGAGGGTATCAGATCCCCTGAAACTGGAGTCATAGGCAGTTGTGAACTACCTGACGTGGGTGCTGGGAACCAAACTTACATCCTTTGGAGGAGCAGAACATGCTCTTAACTGCTAAGCCATTTCTCTAGCTCCCAAAAAAGTGGTTTATGAAAGTCATAATCCTGAGTTCCTATTTGATACTCTTTTTAAATATAAAACATTAAATATTAAATACAAAATATTAAAAATAAATTTGATAGATCTAATCTTTATATCAGAAATACTGGAATTTTGAAAGTGTATCTTGATTTTAAATGTATTGGATGTTGCTTTTTACCCCACCTGTTGTTGCTAGGAAGTTGTTTCTTGGGTTCTGTCCTCCTCCCTGTTTATTTTAGTAAGCATCAAACTAGGTCTTCTCTGCCATCTTTGAATGATGCCACCATTGAAATATTTTTCAGAAGTGGTACGTGAAATTGAGATGAATGTGGATGATGATGATGATATCAATAGCTCTAAAGTCATTAATGACATCTTCAGTGACGTCCTAGAGGAAGGTGAACTGGATGTAGAAAAGAGCCAAGAAGGGATGGCTCAAGTGGAAGGAGAAAACAATGAAGAGCAGGAAGATGCACTGAATATTTCTTCAATGTCTTTACTTGCTCCATTAGCTCAGACAGTTGGTGTGGTAAGTCCAGAGGTAAGAAAAGGCTAAATAAGAACAGGCACATAACAAAATAAACTAAGTAAAACTGCATACCTCCCCCACTTTTGGTTGATATGAATTTGGTACTGGAGCCAATTGGATCTTGCCAATCTACTAAAATTCTCTTAGAATGTAAAACTCTAGTGGTTTTCTATGGATGTTAGGTAAGCATTAATGCATCTTTTTGTGTGTGTGTGTGTCTTTTTTTTTTGAGACGGGATCTCTCTATAGTCCCAGCTGGCCTGGAACTCACTATGTAGACCAGGCTGGCCTTGAACTCAGTAGAGATCCCCCTGAGTCTGCCTCCTGAGAGTGCTGGGATTAAAGGTGTGCACTACCACGCCTGGCTCATTAATGCATCTTAATAGGCATGACATTTAGGCCCAAATCCTGGCTCTGGCATTTTGTGACTGTTACTTAGCCTCTCTGTGCCACAGTTTTCTCATCTATTAAACAAGGTCAACAATTCTTCCATGGGACCCAGGTTTGATTCCCAGGACCCACATAGTGGTTCACAACCATCCTTTACTCCAGTTCCAGAGAATCTGACTCTCTTCTGGCTTCCACAGGAACTTGACCAGCACAGGTGCACTTACATGTACACAGGTGAAATACTCATACACATAAAAACAAAAAAATATAAAACAACTATTCACAGAATATTTATACTGAATTGTGTATTATAGTGATAGATTTCAAATCATGTGTAGTTAGATATGTGTAGTTATATGCAAATTCAGCACCATCTTATATATTTTCTTTTTTTTTTTTTTTTGGTCTTTTTGAGACAGGGTTTCCTATAGCCCCAGGTGGTTTGGAACTCGCTATGTAGACCAGGCTGGCCTCGAACTCACAGAGTTCTGCCTCTGCCTCCCAAGTGCTGGGATTAAAGGCATGCGCCACCATGCCCAGCTCATTTTATATATTTTCATGTCAATTTTCAAAGCTCAGTAAAGAAAGCATGGGAATCTGAGAAACACAGCAACCAGGGAGCCTGACCTCTCCCTTCTCAGACCCATCACCGCTAAGCATCATGGATTACAAAGGCTTACACAGAAGCTATACAGAAGCAAGGCAGCTCCTTGTTACTTCTTTCAGCTCTTCCTTACTCTTCAGTAAGGTGCTGGTAGAAAGTGCAGGCAGAAGTAAAGTCAACACAGTGGAAGGAACAAAATGCAAGTACAAGCTGCAGAATGTGAGCTTCATTATTCAAACATGAGTTAAAAGCCCTGTCTTCATCCAGACCTGATACTACATACTGTGAAGATCAAGGTTAACATTTGTAGTGGACCTTAAAATTCAGTGCTTTATTTAGCATAGCTCTCAGTAGCAAATTTCCATGATGAGACAGACACCAGAAGTCTTTAGTACCCTTAATGGCACAGTTCTCTTGACCCTACATCATAGGGCTGATGTCATTACTAAATAATATTAATATTTAGGACCAGACATTTAACTAACATTCACTGAGACCTAACCTCTGTTATTTGCTAACATCCCAAATTGAGTAACTATAACGCTAGAGTTGGTTCAATTAGCAATATTTTTATTTAGAAATTTAGTTTGGTTTTTATTTTGAGATGGTCTTCTGTGGCCCAGGCTGGCCTTGTACTTAGGTTGATGCAAAAGGAACTGCAGTTTTAGATCATAATTTTAAATCATTATAACAGGCTCATCTCTCTTAGTCAAATAAGTAACCAATAACAGTGAACACATTTGCTAATGAGAAGTAAATTTGTTTAATCCTGCAGGGTAAAAATCTGTGCTTCAGGGTTTGATGAACTCTTGGAAAGCATTTTCTGCATCCTATTGGTTTTAGAAGTGTTTTCCCTACGTAAAGTTGTTGAGATTTTGAAGAAGTGCTAGTTGTGTAAATATAGCAGATGAGGCAAAACTTCCTAGCCAGCCAGTTCAGCTTTTGAAGTTTGGCTGTGTGATGTTATGTGGGGTGTTGTAGACAAAATGGGCTTTTTCTGTTGAGTAATGCTGACTGCAGGCACTGCAGCTTTTAGTGCATTGTGTGGGTTTGCAGAGCGTACCTGTCAGGTGTAAAGGTTTTGAAGGAATTCAGAAATCTGTAGGACTCAAGCCAACATCAGACCCTCACACAGTGACCATGTTTATTGTTGCTGCAAGTTTGGCTTTGGGTAGTGCTTTGGAGCCTTTTCTTGGTCCAGCCACTGAGCTGGTCATCCTTGGTTGTTGTATACAATCTACTTTTCATTTCATGGCACAGTATGATCAGGAAATAGTTCATTGTTGTGTAAAATAAAAGAGGATGACAATTTTTTTTTTTTTTTTAATATTCGGTCATCTCATGAGGCATCCACTTATTAAGCTTTTTTACCTTTCCAATTTGCTTCAACTGCTAAATCATCATTGAATGGTCCATATTCAGTTCTTTGGCAACTTCTCATTAGTTATAAGAGGTTCACCCTCTGATGACTGCTCTCAGTTGGTGACTGTCAACTTCTGAAGCCCAGCTTCTATGATCCTAATTTTCAAGGCTCATCTCCTTTGCAAAAGTTCTTCAACCACCACTATATGTGTGTTCCTGGACCAAGTGTTGCGTTGATGATGTTGCAAGTTGTCTCAGCAGTTTTATGACTCACTTTGAATTCAAATAAAATTGTCTGAATTTATTGTTTGTTTAACATTTCTGTAGTATAAAATGAATATAAACATGAAGTAATAAGTCATCAGTAAAAAAATAAAGTGAGAAATGTTTATTAAAATGTTGTATAGCGTAACTACATTTATTAAGAATATGCGCCAACATTAACAAACTTAAACAGAGAAGAAAAATCACACTTTCTTTTGCAACAACCTAATATGCACATGATACTGACCTTCAGCTCTCAGCAGTCCTCCAGCCTCAGCCCCCCAAGGGCTTGGATTATAGGCATGAGCCTCTTGCCAACAGAGGAAATGCTTAAAAAGAATTACTAGTGCACCAGTTGTCTTTGTTTTTTATCCATTTGCTTTTTAGGAGCATATTCTAGTTTGTTCTGCTTTATGAAAAAATCAGTGGACTTCTTAGATATTTAATTTTTGATAGTGGAGAAAAATTCCTTGTTTTCTCAGAATTAAATGAATTATTTAGGATTAATGTTATTTATTCATAATATCTAGTATGTGAATCCTGTGTTTGGTGACACATACCTATAACCCTAGGTCTCAGAAGGGAGGCTAAGGCAAGAAAATTGTGAGTTGGGGGCCATCCTAGACTACATAACGAAGACCCTGTCTCCTAAATAAAAATAAAAAACAAAAATTGAAAATAAAATCTAATATTAATGTGCTTTTCTGCAGAGTGTACTTTCTTCACCTAAAATGGAATTCAGAGACACTAGCCTAAGTGCCGAAAGTCCCAAACCAGGAAAATTCCAGAGAACCCGTGTCCCTCGAGCTGAATCTGGTGACAGTATTAGTTCCGAGGATCGTGATCTTCTCTATAGGTAAGGACATTTGGGGAAGGTGTTCACGCATTGTATTGGTTTACATTGACATAAATAGTGTTGGAACTTACAATGTGATTTATAATCACGTCTATCAAAGTTTGGGATAACTTTTTATGACATTGGAGGTTGAACTCAGGGTCTCATGCTTCCTAAGCATGAGGCCTGCTACTGAGCCACATCCCCAGCTCTGGGCTCTGGAACCACTTCTGGCAGCTTCTTTTTCACCAGTGGCATTTCCATTCTGGTGAAATATGCTAACATTTTAAATATCAAATTCAGGGTAGTGCTCAGTGTATTACTGAATTTTCTAACAGTCACTTTCTTCCTGAAGCATTGATGCATATAGGTCTCAAAGATTCAAAGAAACGGAACGACCTTCAGTAAAGCAAGTGATTGTCCGGAAAGAAGATGTTACTTCAAAATTGGATGAAAAGAAGAATGCCTTTTCTTGTCAAGTTAATATCAAACAAAAAATGCAGGTATGCACCTGTGTGGAAAGGGAATTTGGAATGTTTCTTACTGGACTGTGCACTCTTTGAAGACAAAGGCTCACCCCTATTAATCTCTGTACCCTGAGTGATTAGAGTCACTGAACATGCACAGGAGCTCAGTAAATTATTCTTGGATTCAATTTAATTTTGGAAAGACACTCTTTAGAAAGTTGGACATGAGTTCATATTGCTCAATTTTCTTTTTGAAACATGCTTGCCATAAATATCATTAAATTGTCACTATTGGGTAGGGTACAGCTATTGACTAGCATGTGTGAGGTTCTAATCCTCATGACCACATATGTACATGCATACACAAAATTATTTGGTGAAGTGTGAAACTTACTGTGGTTTTCAAAGGTTTTTGTGCTAAGAAAAGCAGGGTTTTTTGTTTTGTTTTGTTTTGTTTTTTTGTTTGGTGGTATGTATCACCACACCCAGCTTTTGATGGTGGAGTTGGAACTTCAAACTCAGATCCTCAAGATTGTACAGCAAACACTTTGCCCCCTCAGCTATCCTCCCCACCCCAACTCCTCATTGAATGATTTTTTTTTTAAATGAAACGCAAGTCATAATTCAAACAATTTTTAAAAAAATCTTTTTGGTGTTTTTGAGACAGGGTCTCCCTGTAGTGGAGCTGACCTGTAACTTACTGCATAGACCAGGCTAGACTTGAACTCACAGAGATCACCAACCTCTGCCTCCCAAGTGCTGGGACCAAAGGTGTGTGCTACCATGCCCAGCTTAAACAGCAATTTTAAAAATCAAATACGCTGATATGATCTAATGCTATAAGTTATTTCATGGATACTAAGGAACGGCGGTAGGAAAATATTAGAAGTTTTGTTTTCTTGAAGTAAACTATTAGGAGCAGGAAACCCTGCACTCTGCATACATCATAAAAGTGCATTTCATAATATACAATAATCAGGAATCTGAGCTGAGGGCTTTCTAGCAGTGGTCATTGGTGTTCTGCGATGTGACTGCATGCACTAAGTACAAAGTGTGCATGTTGTGTTTCAGAAGTATGGCTGCAGGGAAGTTGTGCAGTATAACACAGATGAGTGCTGCCACAAATATCTTGGATTCATTATGTAATTTGATTTTGAATTAATGTTTGGTTCTATGTGTTCAGAAACCTTTTACTGTTACATTTTTGTGTGTGTGTGATCTCCACATTGTTATGTGACCCACAGTTTAAGAAGCAGTGTTCTAGAAACTTGTGCACTGAAACTCATATTTTGACTTTCTCTGAAAAATTTACAAATTATGCAATCAATTTAGTTAGAATTAAAGTTTAAATGAAGTGATAATGGTGTTTAAAAATGTGGACTTTTTTCTCCAATGGTTTCACTAGGAACTCAATAATGAAATAAATTTGCAACAGACAGTGATCTATCAAGCTAGCCAGGCTTTGAACTGCTGTGTTGATGAAGAACATGGGAAAGGGTCCCTAGAAGAAGCTGAAGCAGAAAGACTTCTTCTGATCGCAAGTATGTATGATGTACTTAAGATGATCTCTACAAAATTTCTAACTAGTGAAAACTCACTTTCTCTGGCATATTCAGAAATCCGCAGTTTTAGAGAAAGTACTTTTTTGATCATATGTTTCAGTTGAACTATTTTTTGTTTAAAAGATTGTGAAAGCTTTCCAGTTAAAATATTTTGCATCTATATACAAACAAAAATTGGTTTGCATGTGAAGTAAAAGCAATTGGAATACATTTGAAGAAATATAATATCCTAAATGAAGATACATATACACATTATTTTTGTTATATATGTGTGGTGATAATGGCGCATGTTGGGGTAGGAAGATGATACCACATAGAAAGCTGATCAAGTTAGTGTATTATAAGAAGTTGGTAAACAGATGAGCTGGTGACATTTTACCTAAACAGCTCCATGAAAGAAAAAGTTACAATTTTGTTTTTGTTCTTTTATTTGTTTGCCACATCAGTGTACTTTCTTGAAGTGCCTCTCATTTCAGAACAGTTACAATTTTAATCTTTGGAATTTTTTTTTGCATATTTTTACATAGCTGAAAAGAGAGCACTTTTGATTGATGAACTGAATAAACTGAAGAATGAAGGGCCTCAGAGGAAGAATAAGGCTGATGTCATACCTCAGAATGAATTTGTCCCATCCAAAGGATCAGTTACTTTGTCAGAAATCCGCTTGCCCCTAAAAGCGGATTTCGTCTGCAGTACCGCTCAGAAACCAGGTATGGTGTGATGATTTTTATTTGTACCACTATATCATGCATTAAATTTTAAGTGCATTGGATTTGTTAAGGAAAAGTATATGTAAAGCATGCATGTAGATACAAAACTTCTATCATGTCTTTAGTTCCCTTTTTAAAGAAATGTATATATATATATGGAATACCTCAAAAGTAAGGCTAAACAGAATTTTATTTTTATTTTTTGTTTTTTTTGGGGTGGGGGCGGCTTGGATCTCACAGAGATCTACTTGTCTCTGCTTCCCGAGTGCTGGGTTCAAAGGCATGTACCACCACGCATGGCTCAACAGTGAACTTTTTAAAACCGAAAATCCACTAAAAATCATCTCTGAATCAAGTGGGTAAATTGAAATCTGACAGCAGAACCCAAAAACAAAGCAGGGTTATTTCTAGGAAACAGTAAAATTAAAGCTATGTTAAGAATTAGAACTGTTTTAAGATTCTTTTTTTTTTTTTTTTTTTTTTCGCATTTTTGTTTGATTAGAACTTTCTCTTTCAGAGAAAAGAAGTCTAGCCGATAGGTGAGAAATGAATTTCAGGTTTGGGGAGAGGAAAAATGGAGGTCTGTAAAAGTTTGAGCCTGCAACAGGGCCTAGTGAATAATCCTATATCCCAGCTACTTGGGAGGCTGGGGTAGGAGGATTGCAAGTTCAAGACCAGCTTGAGCAGCTTGGTTAGTGACACCCTGCATCTCAAAATAAAAAATAATAAGAGTGCTAGGGATGTAGCTCAGTGACAGATGTTGTTTTAGGTGTACAAATCCTGGAGTTCAGTATCTGATACTTTAAAGTTTGAGCACTTGATGGTTGTGGTGGCTCATGCCTCTAACCCCAGCAGTTCAGCGGACTGCAACAGTAGGATTGCCTCAAATTCAAGGCCAGCCTGGGTTGCAGAATGATTCCCTGTCTATAAACAAATGAACAAGAGAAGGAAAAAAAAAAAAGAGCATTATTGTAGAAATGAGCTAATTTCAGTTCTAATTTTTGCTGTTGCCTGATTTTGGTATAATGTAGGCAGAAAATTGTTGGTAATTTAGTATTATTTGCCTTGTGATATATGGTTATTTAATGATAAATTGTGATAAAATAATTCATGTTTTAGTAGAAAATATCCCTGAGTAACTCAATGTATTTTAATCTCAATTTTGTTTTTTTTTTTTGAGTCAGGGTCTCCCTGTAACCCCAGCTGGCCTGTAACTTGCTATGTAGACCAGACTGACCTTGAACTCACAGAGTTAATCTTAATTTTAAAATAATCATAATTGATCCTTTGGAGGTTGGAGGTACATGCGCTTCTGTCCTCCAGTCCATACCATGCCCTGTTGCTGCTCAGTGATGAGAAGACTCTGCTGGGCGAGCTCCCAATTGACTGCTCTCCAGCCCTGGTACGGGTAATCAAGACCACATCTGCTGTGAAGAACCTGCAGCAGCTAGCCCAGGATGCTGATCTGGCCTTATTACAGGTGGGGTCCTGGGGGCCTGGAAGGGTGGGAAGAAGAGACTTGTGGGTATATACAGAGCAGGCAGCCTGTGGGTGGAGGTGGAAGGTGCTGAGACATCAGGAAAGCAGATTGCTTTCCATGGCTGCATCCCCAGGGCCCCTTTGTATCATAGATAGATACTACATGACTTGCCACAGATCAGGGTGGTTCTTGGGTGGGAGACTTGGGGTTCTGGCATCTACATCCTCAGAGTTGTCTTGGTGAGACACAGGACTGAATTCTGTTGAGCAGAAGTGAGGCAAGCCATGGGAGAAAGGAGAGAGGTGCTCCCAGCAAAGGCCTAGAGCACAGGTGGGGAAGGTAGGAAGGAGTATGCAGGGAATCCTCCAGCTTAGGAGAGTTTTTTAAAACATTTTATTATTTATTTATTTATTTATTTATTATTTATTTATTTTGGTGACTCAATGAGTTTAAGTTAGGGTTGCTTATAGGAGCATAAGTGAGAGGTTATTTATAGTAGTATGGGCACCTTATCAGTGATTGTACCACTGAAGGAAATTTCTCCCTCTCTGCTGCAGCCATCAACTGTCAGTGTCTGTTCAGGAAGAGGTGGGCCTTGTGACCACCTCTTCCCATTTACTCACTTATTTTAAATTTTTATTTATTGTGTTTGTATGTGTGTTTGTGCGAAATGTAGGTGCTTGGATACATGTTCAGTGACATGTATGGAAGCCAGAGGACAACTTTGTGGAGTCTGTTCTCTCCTTCTACCTTTATGTAGGTTCTGAGGATTGAACTTAAGTCTCCAGGCTTGTGTGGCAAGCAGGCCCTTTAGCTGCTGAACCACTTCTTGGGCCCCTGTTTATTATTGTTTTTATATAAACAAATAACATAGTTTCTACTTATTTGGTTTAACTTTTTCTTTTAAACTTCATCAATACATTTTGGCTTTAGAGCATTAAAAATACAATGAAATATTACAAAAACATGTACAATTTTGTATGAGAATTTTATACTCTCACCACATGAACTTGATGAATAGTGCATACTATTAAAAAAGTAATGATGAAAGATATTTAGTAGTAGCGTAATGAAAACAAGCCCCTACATTCTAGAAAATGGTCTAATTCTACTTTTTGCCCAAACTAATAGAATATTGAGTTTATTCATACCAGTCTATCGCTGAAGAGAAACAACACAAAAGCATGAAAATAAAATTGTATGATTCTGATAGAACACTACCAATAGACATAAAAGCATAAAATATTCAGGGAAAATCAATTATCTTACTCCATTATGGGCTATTAGGTTTCTGGAGTTCCATTATATATGCACTTACTTTACTTGCTAATTTTATTTTGAAACTTCTAAAAAATCTCATTTGCAACTTAAATCACATTAGACAGAAGTCTTAGCATTTTTTTTAGAAGAAGCATTTCATTACAACAGCATTGACATATTCAATAACAATTTCCAGAGATAAGATGCATTTCTTTGAAAATTGGCTGTAAATGTTTAGGTTTACATTTGAATTAATACAGTTATACAATATTGTACTCAGTATAAACCCTATAAGACATAAAATTAAATGAGGTTTTAAACTTTAAAAAAGATCTCCATTTCATTATTAAAATAGTTTCATACAGAAAAATTCATTTTTAATACAATTGACACTAAGATGCACATGCGTTTCTAATCTCTATATATCTGATTATTGCTAGTCACAGTCAGTTACTTTCTGAGCTCCATGGCATCTCAGCACAGATATAAAGTCATCAGGTAGATTTCAGTGGTAATGTTTTTCACATCTACTACTTATTAAGGAGCAAATTTTTATGCTTTGAAGAATTATTTTTTTTCTTTTTTTTTTTAAAATTTATTTATACACCCACTTCTCAGGTAGCACCCTCCCATAGCCTCACTCCCCACTCTAGAGCCCTTATACTCTGATATCCCTGTTACTGTCTGCTGTGTTGTCGGTACCCCCAGCCATTCCCCACTACTTGCCCTTCTGATGAAACTAGTCAACCTATCTAGAGGGCTTTGTTTTAGGAGGGTCAGCTGTTCCTCATCTAGCGGTAATCAGTTGTCTGTATTCCTTTGGATAAGATTGGGGTCTGCTGTTCAATTTTCTAGTTCTATGCTGAGTTACTATCTGGGAATCCCTTTGGCCACAGTGGCCAACAACTCAAAAGAAGGTATTGCCTGTCTGGCATTGTTGCTTGTTATGTAGCCTTTAGCTATACATATGGACTCTTACGAAGTTATGTTGGCCCTTTTATTTTTTGGTTATACTTTCCTTTTGGGTGTTTAAGGCCATACAGTTGGTCCAGGTAAAACGATTTATTTTTATTCTTAAGGTCGTTTGAGGATCTGTTCCTCAGGGGTCACATGGGCTTGGGAGGAGCCCCTGGCTCCTTTCTTTTACCAGTTCCACCTATGTGAAGATAAGTCAAAGGTCCTGCTCGACCATGGTTGGCTTCACTTGGAAGCATGGAGGAAATGATTTCTCTGTATTGACCCTTTGTAGACTGGACACTGGTTCAGGTCCGTCTGGTGGGGTCTCCTCGGTCTCCTTGATCAAGAGGACAGGTGACCCACCACCTTTATAGGACATTTTTGAGAGATGCTTATAGTCCCCTGGAACTAGTCGACCTAGGAGGGCAAGGAGCAAAAAGTGTCCTTTATGTCCCTCTGAACAAATTATTGTAGACCTCAAAGTATGTCCGTTAAATACCCAAGAAGGTTAGTTTCACCAATCTGGTATTTTTAATTACTGTGTCATGTAGATAAATCTTGGGCAATGACCAGTTGTTCTCAGATAAACCTTACCTAGACATATATTTCTTGATCTCCTATGTATAATTTGTCAATAGGTTGTAGGAGTAATATGGTTTTCTGTGGTTTTCAAAACTAGCTAGACATTATCTCTCACCCCTTCATCATGGTTTTCCCACTTAAGGTGCCCCCATTTACCCCCTTTCTCCCTTACTAATACCCTTCTCCTACGGTCCTACCTCTCTTGAGCTCCTTCTTTCCCTTTATCCCCCAGGTTCCTTGTATACCCTTCCCTCCCCCCTCCCTTAAACTAACACAATTTTTATCCATATCTCCACTATTAAGGCCTGTTTCCTACAGTTCTTTCAGGTTCTTTCTTTTCCTTTACCTCCGTTTCCTTTCCATTATCTTGGTGTTCCTGCAGTTATATCTGGATACATACTCACTTATCAGGGTTTGATGCTAGGATCCACATATGAGGGCGAACATGCTTCATTTGTTTTTCTGAGTCTGTGCTACATCACTTAGAATAAGTTTCTAGTAACCTTCCATGTCCCTGAAAATTTCATGATCTCATTTTTCTTCACAGCTGAGTAAAATTCCGTTGTGTATGTACACCATGTTTTCGTCATCCATTGTTCTGTTGATGGGTACTTCGCTGGTTCCAGTTCCTTGTTATTGTGAACAATTCAGCAATGAACATGGATTTGTAAGTATCTCTATAAAGATACTTTCACATCAATGTCTTAATTCTTGCTCTTATTTCCTGAGCAATTGATGTCCAGTTTAGAAAATCCTTTCCTACGCCTATATTGTGTAGGTTTTTCCCAATGTTTTCTTCTAATAGTTTCATGCTGTACATTGAGTTCTTTGAGCCATTTGGAATTGACTTTTGTGCAAGGTGAAAGATATGGGTTTAGTTTCATTCTTCTACAAGTGGAAATCCAGTTTTGCCAGCACCATTTACTGAACATGCTTTCTTTCCTCTGATTAATGTTCTTGGCCCCTTTGTCAAATATCAGATGGCTGAAGTTGCATTTGCTCGTATTTGGGTCTTCAGTTTTGCTCCATTTGTCTATGGGTCTATTTTTGTGCCAGTGCCATGTTGTTTTTATGACTATAGCTCTGTAATACAGCTTAAAATCCGGTATAGCAATGTCCCCGGCATTGCTCTTAGTGCTCTGTGTTGTTTTGGCTATCCAAGATCATTTGTGCTTCCATATGAATCTTAGGATGGTTTTTTCCAACTCTGTGGAAAATGTCATGGGGATTTTGATTAGCATCACATTGAATCTATAAATGACTTTTGGTAGGATGGTCATTTTCACAATATTAATTCTTCCAATCCATGAGCATGGGAGGTCCTTCCATCT